CTTTTTTTTTTTTTTTTTTTTTTCGTTCAGGTGGTGGTCTATTGGTAGATATGATGAAAAGAGCAACGCAAACTAAACAATACGCGGAATTGGACCATGCCCTGAGAACAAAAGTAGAACCATATTTATATAACAAGGGTAAAGGTAAATGGATCCCGATCGAGAAATTGGTTTTGTTGAGAAACAAGGATCGTCCAAAGCACAAAATGGTAGAATAATAATACTCTAAGTAAGTAATCAATTATACGGGTCACGAAAAATTTTCTCGTTTTCTTTTCTATCAATCGCGTAACAGCTTCCACCGTTGCGGGCTATGGAGAATCCGGCCGATTACGACATAGATAAAGATATGGGCGAGGATGAAGTGGACGAGACGAAAATAGGTGAATATAATCAAGAAATAACGAAAGAGTTGAAACAATATAGAGAAATTAAAAAAAAAAAACTATTAACAGATAAAAGCAAGTACAGATTAGTATGCTGGAGTTTGGGCGAGAGGGGAGCAGTCGGTGAAACGATTTTACATTTGTGTATGCTACACGCAACTGCTATTCACATCGATTTGGCTAAGCGTTTGCTGCGTTTTTATCCTAAGCTTATCAACGATGTGTACATAAGCGACGAGTATTACGGTTGGTGATGATTTAAGACGCGATAAAAATGACTCGAAGAAATCTCTTTTTTTTTTATCTTTCGATCAATTTCAATTTGTTTATCAGGCGAGAGCGCATTACACATCGCAATCGTAAACGAAGATCCGTCGATGGTAAAATTCCTTTTGGACAGCGGCGCGGACGTACACGAAAGATGCATAGGAAACTTTATGTGCCCGGAGGATCAAAAAGCGTCGAGGGCGGACAGTCTTGATCACGAATGGGTTTGCGTAACTCCGGAAACTAATTACAACGGGTAAAGAAGAAACTCTCAACTGGAATACAAATGAAGAAGCGCCGGTGTAACGTAACAATCCTTATTATTTCCTTTTATCTTTTGATTGAATAGCTACGTTTATTGGGGCGAGTATCCTTTAAATTTTGCCGCGTGTTTGGGACAGGAAGAGTGTTACAGATTGATACTCGCAAGAGGAGCTGACCCCGACAAACAAGATACGAACGGAAACACCGTTTTACATATGTTGGTCATTTACGAAAAATTGGTAAGAAATTCGTCGTCGAAAAAATAAATAAATAAATGCAAATGATCGAATTAACGATTATTCCGCAATGCAAGGCCACATTCGATATGGCGTACGAAGTTGGCGCATCGTTAGCGATCAGGAATGCTCAACACTTAACGCCCTTGACATTGTCGGCGAAATTGGCAAAGATCGAAATGTTTTTTCACATTTTAAACATCGAGCGAGAGATCTATTGGCAGATCGGAAGCATAACGTGCGCAGCTTATCCCCTCTCGCAAGTCGACACCATAGATGTCGACACGGGAAGCATTAGTCATAATTCCGCTCTAAATCTGGTCGTATTCGGCGTGAGTTGAAAAACTTAACTTCGCTTTCTATTTATATCCATCGAAAAATGATGTTTCTTATATATACAGGAAAAAGACGAGCACTTGGAACTGATGGACGGAATTCTGATTGATCTGTTGAACGCCAAGTGGAACACATTCGTCAAATTTCGATTTTATCGTCAATTTTTCCTATTTTGTTTTTACTTTGTCCTGTCGTTGATCAGTTTCACCCTTCGACCCGGTCCAGCAACGATATCATCCGTTTCCAATCCCATTGCTCAGACGCCCCTCACGTCCACCGAATTGTCGACAATTTCACCAATAGTGGATCCTCCTATCTCGAACGTTACCATCAATCGAACCTCGAATCCTTTCCTTAATTCTAATCTCTTCCTCCTTCTTGATAAAATTGTTTCCGCTGCTTTCGTCTCGAACGTGAAATATCCTTGGAATTTGACAAGAACCCGTTTCGATAAGCTGAAGCTCGTTATCATCGAGAATTTGACATCCGCTTTGAACGATATACTCACGACGAATCGATCCAGAAACGAGATCGAATTTTTTAACCACTCTTACAAAACATCCGCAACCGAACATTTCTACTCTAAAAACGATACTGGACCGATCGATAATTTGAAAATCAATGAAACTATCCTTTCGATAAATTCGACGATTCTATTCAACGATGGGATATTTACCAGCAAATACAACTGGTATGTTGCACTTTTTGAAATAATTTAGTTTCTTCGACAAATCTTGATTGATTGATACGAAGTAAACAATTTTTTTCTTTTTATCGGATTTTTCAAATTGCTTGTTTCAAACGTTAGGTGGAACAATCTTACAGAAGAATGCAGACTAATGCATCTAGATACGTTATCGGGAAAGATTAGATTGACCGCTGAGGTATTAATGGAAATTGCGGCCGCTCTTTATATTTTTGCAGCATTACGAGAAGCCAGATTTCTAGGTCTTAATATGTTTATTGAAAATCTAGTAAGGGACACGTAAATATAATTAGGTGATGCAATGAAATATTAATGAGGGAGATCATTTTTTTAGATGACTGCACCGTCCAGAGTAATGTTTCTCTTTTCCTGCTGTATATTGTTAACCTTCCCATTTTTAAGATTGATTTGCGCCGACCAAGTTGAAGATATGCTAGCTGTTGTCGTTATGTTAACTACGGCACCGTATTTTTTATTTTTCTGTAGAGGTTTCAAAACGGTCGGTCCGTTCGTCGTCATGATTTACAGAATGATCATGGGCGATCTGCTCCGTTTCGTCTCCATTTACTTGGTCTTCGTGATGGGATTTTCCCAAGGTAAAAATATCGATAGAAAAATTTTAATCCAAAAGGAATTGAAAATTCTGAAATTTTCTTCTTCATCTAGCGATTAATTTGATCGATGTTAGATGCATTAGATTATTATGTTCTTTTATTTCTATTACGATCAATCCTCTAATCAGAAACTTTTATGATAACAGATGCATCATATCTTGCTTTCGAACGTAGATCACGGATAAAAATAAACTTACGATCGATTCAAGTAAGAGTAAATTGATCGATTAAATTAATACTCACGAGCAAACATGTCGATGACGTTTTCTCTTTTTCTTGTAGATAATCAAAATGTATAACGACCAAGTAGACGATACGATACAAGCTTGCCTTATGACTTAATCGCTCGCCTAGTTTACTACATAACAAATGACATTGACACATATTGTTGCATTGAGATATCTTCCATTCTAAAACATAATATGTTATTTACATTAGGCATCTTGCCAATTCAATTATCTTATTTTTATATATATATATATATATATATATATTTACAAATACGTATCACATAGTATTTTTTTTACGTAGCTATTTATTTCATTATATAACTTAATTATTTTGAAACATATATCCAAACATTGTCTTGTATCTCTTTCTAATCCAATATAATTATGTAACTTTTTTTCTTTTTTTCTCATTTTTTTTCAAAAGATTGTCGTTTTCCTTTTTCAGCATACTATATTATATTTTTATCTTTCGATAATCCAAATACACCGGAAGGAGTAGATGATTCGATGAGCAATCCAATGCCATCACCAATAGAAAGTATAATGGCAATGTTTCTGATGAGCATGACAAACTTTGGAGATTATTATGGTGCTTTTGAAAGAACGCAACACGAGATAGAAGCCAAGGTGCGTTAGATAAATAATATTTGCCGCAAAATTATTCTTTTCAAATATTTGATGTATATATAAATTCATTTTATTGCAGTTTTTATTTGTAGTGTACATGGCGATCGTTGCTATATTATTGGTAAATATGTTAATTGCTATGATGGGAAATACATATCAGAAAATTGCAGAAACAAGAAATGAATGGCAAAGACAAGTATGTTTTTCTTCTTTTTTCTTATTTTTTCCATTCTTACGATCATTTTATGTAATCATAATTTTGTTGCAATTAATATTACAGTGGGCACGTATAGTTTTAGTAGTTGAAAGAGGAGTGAGCCCTGATGAAAGACTTAAAAAATTAATGGATTATTCTGAACCAATGTCTGATGGTCGAAGAGCATTAGTACTTCGATTGAATCAATCGGTAAAAAATAAGAGAGAATTATAATAATTTTTAATAGATAAATAATTGTAATAGAATAAAATATATATTTTTTTAGGAAGAGGACAAAGAAGAAATGAAGGAAATTTTAGAGATGAAAAGAACTCATGATAAATTATATAAAAAAAGACAGAGCAAAACAATAAAAAAGATTTTAACATCAGAAGATAATGTTATTTTATAATATTATCATAATATTATTTTGCAAATATATTGATATATCGATATAAAAGCTAATAATATCTTAATAAACTCTTATGATTACAATTTGTCTTTAAATTTTATTACTTAATTTTATTATTCAAACTATGTATTGATACAACATAATCGTATCCATAGCAACTTACTATAGCAACCATTCACGATATAGATAATGATTATTTATTATCTTAAGTATTTCATTTCATCGTGTATTATCATATCGTGCATTGTGTTATCTCAAAAATTAAATACCTTCAAAACTTCGAATCGTGATAAATGAGCAAATTAAGATTGCCTATAGATTATAAAAATATGCAATTAGAACTCTTAGAGGCTCTTAAAGAAGATGAATTATATAAATTACAAAATGATGCTAAAATTAGAGCAGTGGAACAAAATGTACCTACATATGAAGATTTCAGACAAATGGTAATAATATATTTAGAAAAATATTATTATCTATCAATATGAATTATCCATCTACATTAAATTTTTTATTAGGTAAATGCTGCTCACTTAAAACCTTTAAAACACTCCGATATTAAATATGAGGTAAAAAAATTATGGAATCCTATTATTTGTACCAATAATTCAAATATGATGCCATTTAACAATCCAGAAGAAGATCAGTCTAAAGATTGTCTAAAATTAAAAGAGAATGAAAATATTTTTAAAAATGAAATACCCATTACATATGATCAATTTATACAATTTTGGAAAACGATTAAAGAATATAAAGAAAAATTTAATTATCTTAAAATTTTAAGGTAACTTATTTATTTAATTAAATCGAAACATTAAAAAAAGAAAATTTATTTATTAATCTATTATTATTTATTCTAATATTTCAGACATAATTTACGAGAGAAAATTTTTTATACAGAAATTCCTCCAACATTATTTGTCGAACTAATAGACATATGCTTACAAAATGTTTCGGATGTGAATAATATCGAATTTATTATTGATATTTTATGCATTTTGAGTAAATGTAATCGATTTTACTTAACAATCAATTTTATGAAACAAAACGAAAAAGAAATGTGTACACAACTTTTCCACAATTTATTTAAAAATGGAGAATATCAAAATGAAACATTTAAGGATACAATAAAAAAATTAGCGTTACATTATGAAGTTATACTTGAATAATAAATATTATAATGATTAATCTATACACACAATCTATAAAATAAAATATTATTTATAGAATATAGAAAAAATCAAGACTTGTTGTTTAATTTAAATTTATAATTTTAGATTTGAAAAACGTAAAATTTCAAATCATGCAAGCATGCGTCCAAAGAAGCATGTCAAACGAATCACGTGATTATTGAGTACTTAACATGGCCGCACCCATTGTAAAAGTTCGAGATATCGCGTTGATTAATGATTAGTTTAAGAATAAACTGAAATTCCGTCAAATTTGAATTTATTCTTGTTTAAAATTGAAATGATTCGAAAGTTTAATACACAATGGTATTGTCGTTGTTTGAAAAATTTTTCGCGATGTATACATGTACGTACGTGGAAAGAAGAACATTGGGCATGTATGCACGTATATCGCATGTATGCTCGTATTTCGTAAATAAACAAGATCAGTAAATCAATCGATAAAATGTCAATTGACAGTGTCATTTTAAATATTGTTATTGAAAAATTAAAAAATAAATATAAAATGTTAATTACCAAAAATCACGATTCTATTTAACTAAAACAAGGTACAAAGATCACGTACGTACCTGTAGCGTACGTATATTTAGATAGTGTAATGCTTTAATATTATATGATACATATGTATAATGTTACGTGAAAATTATGTGTAACATATTTTGTCATTGAAAGAAAGATGTATAGATGAATATATAAAAATATGTATGTATGTTGTTTGCTTTTATGAATGTATATGATTTACATATATCATATATTACACATGCTGCATATGTAATATACCATAAAAATAATAATAGTTGTGTATTCGTGGTAAATGGAAAAGAAAATTTATCGAGTGATTAGTCAAAAAAATATGCGGTTAGAAGAAATGCCATTACGTTTAAGCTCGGATGAGCGAGATTTTGAAATGGATGAAGAAACTGACTATCTTCTCCAACCTTCTGAAGATAGTATACGACTTTTAACTTCACGAAGACGACGAATAAATAATTTTTCTGTATTCCTCAGGAGTTGCTTTTGCGGGTAAGTTATAAATTTAATAATGAATCATTGAAAAAAATCGAATAAAAATAAATATGATATTCGATGAAAATAAGTCTATAATCCTCTAGTGGTAATTCTTTAATGGTAGCCAACATAACAAATAATAAAAATTTATGGATATACATCAAAATATTCAAAATATAAAAATAAATTTTTGAAATAATAATATATGATAATATTGAAAATAAAAAAATATATAATAATATTACTTAAAAATTGATTTTTAATATATATACTATAATTAATTGAAAAAAATGAAAATAATTTTTACAATAGAATTAAATTTATTATTTTACCATTAAAATTAAATAATTAAAAATATGATTTCGCAAAAATTTTATTTTTAATAAAAAATATTTAAGAAATGTGGAAATTATACATTAAATAGAACATATAGTGTAAGTCACTGTAGTAAATTAGTGAATTCATCTTGTAAGTTCGTATTTCATGGATGTTATGATGTCACAACAGAATTGTGTTAAATATCGAAGAATACTTTTTAGACAGTGTTATTTTAACAAGAAGCTAATATAAGTGTTTCTTTATATGATTTGTAATAAAGAAATATCTAAATGGAGACACAAAGCAATGTTATAAGGCTATCAAAAGAAGATATTCCGTTAATATCTAAACCGCGGAATGACAACTCGTGGACAAGGTGACGTACATTTTACTCCTCCAAAAAATTTCGATTTCTATGTAATCTTTTAATTTCTTTGCAAGAACTTATTAAATAATTCAATATATATTACTGATTACTTCCATGATGTTTAACTGGATTTCAATACAGTAACTATATTATATATATTCCATGTTTTATATTTATTTAATTAACACATTTCTCTTCATTTGCGATCATTATAATTATTATGGTTATGGTATTATATATTTTAATAAAAAATTTTAATAAATAAACGAAGAATTGATGCTATATTTTTTTCTTTTTTTATCTATCTGTATTTGTATATATTATTGTCTCATTTTAGATGTTGTACCTGGATGTGGAGAAGATGTTGCAGAGAACGTGAATTAAGAGCCAGGGTTATTCAAATTGGTCAACTAATGCATGAAAAATTTCCTACTAATGTCATCAGAAACCAGAAATATAATATTGTCACATTTCTACCTCTGGTAAGGAATATTGTAGATTATGTTATTAAATATATATATAATAAGAATATTAAATTAATTAATTATTTTTTAGGTTCTTTTCCAACAGTTCAAATTTTTTCTAAATTTATATTTTTTGCTTATGGCCATATCACAATTCATACCAGATATACGAATAGGATATTTATATACATATTGGGGACCTCTATGTTTTGTGTTAACTGTTACAATTTGTCGAGAAGCAATTGATGATTTTAGACGATACAAGAGAGATAAAGAAGTCAATGCCCAAAAATATTATAGATTAGTAAAAGGTTTTGATACTCCAGAATTAGTACCAAGTTCTAAATTGCGAGTGGGTGATTTGGTAAGAAAATGGAAATGTAATTAAATAAAAATAAAAAAAGAAATAAAAATAGAATATTTATTTTTATTATTTTTTTGTTCAAGGTTATTGTAGAAAAAGGTCAAAGAGTTCCAGCTGATTTGGTTCTTTTACGAACCACAGAAAAATCTGGTGCATGCTTTGTGAGAACTGATCAATTAGATGGAGAAACAGATTGGAAATTACGATTAGCTGTACCAGCTACACAAAAGTTAGAAAATAATTCTCAACTGTTCGATATAAAAGCTAGCATATATGTTGAGAAACCACAAAAAGATATTCACAGTTTTATTGGAACATTTACAAGGGTAAAATTTGAAATATTCAGTTATTTTATCTTAAATATTTATATAAAAATATAATAAATGTAATAAATATGTACAATAAATGTATAATAATTATTATATATATATATATAATAATTATATTATAATTTATAGTATGATGGATATAGCAGTGAAGAAAGTTTAGGTGTGGATAATACTCTATGGGCCAATACGGCAATTGCATCAGGTTCAGCTCTTGGTGTTGTAGTTTATACTGGACAAGAAACTAGATCTCTTATGAATCATTCTGCACCACGATCGAAAGTTGGTTTATTAGATCAAGAAATAAATCAATTGACAAAAGTAATTTATAATCATAAAAATATCTAATATAATTTATAATTCAATTTATAAAATACATATTATTGAATGAATTTTTATAGGTTTTATTTTGTGCTGTAATTGGATTAGCATTAGTAATGATGTCTTTAAAAGGATTTAATGGGCCATGGTATCGTTATATGTTTCGTTTTGTTTTATTATTTTCTTATATAATACCAATCAGTTTAAGAGTAAATTTAGATATGGGGAAAGCTTTTTATGCTTGGTGTATACAAAGGGATAAAGAAATTGCTGGAACTGTTGTCAGAACTACTACTATTCCGGAAGAACTTGGACGTATTTCATATTTATTAAGTGACAAAACTGGTACATTAACACAGAATAAAATGGTTTTCAAAAAATTACATTTGGGTATGATATCTTATGGTCAAGAAACATTTGACGAAGTTATGACCGTATTACAAACATGTTATGCAAATTCTGAAACTTCACCGGTAAAACCATCAACATCTATACACAGTGGAAAAGTAAGAAGATCTGAAAGTACTAGAATATATGATGCAGTTCATGCTTTGGCATTATGTCATAATGTAACACCAGTTTATGATGAAATAACTAAATCAGCTAATTTGGATACAATGAGCGTACAGACAGCAGAAACAGGAGATTCTGGTTCTATTCAAAGGTAATTTTGAAAGATTATTTGAAAGATTAATAATTAGTCCACATAATATATGTATTTAAATTATTTTTATTTTTTATTTCAAAAAATTTCAGTCAAACTGAAGCAGATCAACATTATTATGTACCAGAACAAAAACGTAATTATCAGGCTTCTAGTCCAGATGAAGTAGCATTAGTTAAATGGACGGAAGAGATGGGATTAGCACTAGTGAAACGCGATTTAAATTTCATGCAATTAAAAGCTCCAAATGGCAAAATTTTGAACTATACAATCTTGCAAATATTTCCATTTACATCAGAAACCAAACGGATGGGAATAATAGTGAAAGAAGAATCTAGTTCTGAAATAGTATTTTATTTAAAAGGTGCGGATGTAGTAATGTCCGGAATAGTACAATATAATGATTGGCTTGAAGAAGAATGTGGTAATATGGCTAGAGAAGGTTTAAGAACTCTAGTTGTTGCAAAAAAGAATTTAACAGAAGAACAGTATCTTGATTTTGAAGCAAGGTAAAAAATTTTCGTGTATAGCTATAAAATGATTAGAAATAATAAATCACATAAGAGATATTTTTCTTTTAGATATAATTCAGCAAGAATGAGCGTCAGTGATCGCGTTTCAAGAGTTGCTGCAGTTGTAGAAAGTTTAGAACGAGAAATGGAATTATTATGTGTAACTGGTGTTGAAGATAGATTACAAGATAGAGTAAGACCTACATTGGAATTATTAAGAAATGCTGGCATTAAGGTATAATTTATCTTGAATTTATATTATACATGAAATTAAATTTTTTTTTGTTCATTTTAATTAAAAGTAAAATTACAATATTTTTTTTGTAATTTTTAGATTTGGATGTTAACAGGTGACAAATTAGAAACGGCAACTTGTATAGCAAAATCTTCGCGTTTAGTTTCACGGACACAAAGCCTTCATGTTTTTAAATCAGTGGTAACTCGTACAGATGCGCATTTGGAATTAAATACGTTTCGTAAAAAACAAGATTGTGCCTTAGTCATCAGTGGAGATTCTTTAGAGGTATGCTTACAATATTATGAACAAGAATTTTTGGAATTAGCATGCGGTTCACCGGCTGTTGTTTGCTGTCGATGTTCACCCACGCAAAAAGCGGAAGTTGTAAGTCTTATTCAAAGACATACTGGCAAAAGAACTGCAGCTGTCGGTGATGGGGGAAATGATGTATCAATGATACAAGCAGCAGATGCTGGTAATTATCATTATGTTTTTATATTCAAATGAACTGTTTCTCAAACTAATATATATTTTCAGGTATAGGTCTTGAAGGTCTTGAAGGAAGACAAGCTTCTTTGGCTGCAGATTTTTCCATTTCTCAGTTTAGTCATTTGGCCAATCTTTTGTTAGTTCACGGACGTCGAAGTTATAAACGCTCTGCTGCTTTAAGTCAATTTGTTATTCATCGAGGTTTAATTATTTCTACGATGCAAGCTGTGTTTTCTGCGGTCTTTTATTTATCATCTGTATCATTATACCAAGGATTTTTAATGGTTGGGTAAGAAAAATTAATTGATTTCAAAATAATTTATTAAATATGAATAATTAATAATTTATAATTCTGACGTATCTTAATCTTATATTTTAATTAAGATTTTTAAATAAATCTTTATATTTTTTTAGTTATGGAACAATATATACGATGTTTCCCGTATTTTCTTTGGTACTAGATAAAGATGTATCGGGAAAAATTGCTCTTACTTACCCAGAACTTTATAAAGAACTTAGTAAGGGCCGATCATTGTCTTATAAGACATTCTTTATGTGGATTTTAATAAGTATATATCAAGGTAAATAAATTAACAGATTAATAAATAATAAATCCAATAATTTTTATTAATAATTTTAAATTTTCCATCAATATATTAATTTTTTAAATCATCTTTTAGGAGGTGTTATAATGTACGGCGCACTCATTATGTTTGAAGATGAATTTATTCATATAGTGGCCATAAGTTTTACAGCACTCGTCTTGACGGAATTAATAATGGTAGCTTTAACTATTAGAACATGGCATCATATTATGATACTTGCAGAGATTTTCTCATTGGCACTTTATTTATTATCTCTAGTCGTTCTCAAAGATTATTTTGGTGCGTATAATTAATATATGTTTGCAAAAAATAAGGAATAAGTTCATTAAAGAAATTTAATTACTCTTTCTTTTAATTATAACACAGATGCCGAATTTATCAAGACTACTGATTTTCTGTGGAAAGTATTACTTATAACTTTAATTTCTTGTATGCCATTATATATCTTGAAATTTTTACGAAAAAAATTTTCTCCTCCTAGTTATACCAAATTATCTTAAATTTTACATAACATTGTCACTTTAAATAATAAAAGTAACATATATGAAATGTTGACAAAATTTTGAATTGAAAAAGTAGTAAAATTTTTTTTGAAGTTAATTAATTATTTCTAATTCAAGCTCTGCTAATGCAAAATAGATAAATTTACATTTCATAAGATTCTTCAGTATTTTTTAAATTTTTTTACAAAAAAAAATTATTAAATATAAAATTGTATAACATAATATTGAAAATAATTTCTAACAAAATATTAATTTATAATTTATAATTTTTTTTGTTTTAAATATATAATATTAAGCATTTTATTGTATCATTAGAACAGATCAGATTCAATTTTCTTCTTTTTTCTTTAAATTCTAAATTAATGATAAATTTTGTTAATTTGACTAAATTTTATTAAATTTTGACTGTTATTATTATTGCTATTATTATTATTGTTATGCTTACGTATAATGCTAATAATGTAAACATTTCTCAAATTTGTCAGATTACAATTGCAATGATAATAATTTTAAAAAAATGAAAATTAGATATATATCTTCTTTGTCTTTATTTATTTTAATAAACAATAATTTTCATTTTTAAAATATATTCATGTAATGTGTAGCATTTTATTCGTTTTCATTTCATGTTTATTATGTATATTTGATTGCATATTATTTACAGTATTTTAATTCATATAATAAGTTTATAAGACAAATTAAAAGCATATGTTTTATTTGAGATTTTCTTAATGTATTTAATAAATAAAAATACAAATAAACATATGCAAAGTTAAATTTTTTTACGAATTAAAGATCGAGATTTTTATCTATTATCATTTTTTTCTTTTGATAACATTTTTATTTTATATTTCAAATAAAATTTATTACTTTTAATTATAATATAATGTAATATAATTTATCATGAATATATACTGCTATAATAAATAATTTTTATATTCACGCGTAAATTGTAATGTAGATTTAGATATAATTGTTGTTAATTACAATGTTAATGAAATGTATCATACTGTAGATTATATAATTATCTTACTATTTATAGATAAATAATATTTCATCTAATGACATATTTATAATTAATTTATGTAGAAAATGTAATAATATATTCATTTGAATTTTTTGAATTTATTCATTATTCTACTTTTTTTCCAATATATACAATTAAAACATTAAAAAAAAAAAAATAAACAATATCCAAATAATTCATCTCTTTTTGCTTATATTTTTTGTTCTCCTCTTATTGTAACATGTAATTTTTCAACTGCATCTTTACATATTTGTTTGTGAATATTATTTACTTCTCTTTTCGATAATGTACGTTCCATATCTCTATATATTATGGTATAACAATGTGATAATTTCTTAATTTTAGGATGAAAGAATTTATCTTTAAATATAACTTGTTCTATCCTATCACCACCAATATTTCTCACTAGATCATAAAAATTTTTCGATGAATAATTTTTATTTTCGGGTAACCAAAAACTTATATCATTCTTACATTGAGGATAAATACTAATTGGCTGTAATAAATAATTTTAATATATTAATTTTTAATATATATGTAATACTTAATTATATATATTAATTAATATAATTAATAATTATATAATATAATTAATATAATTTTTAATATATTATAATACTACTTATAATAATATTTAATTATATTTATTAGTTTATTAATCTACCTTGAACTTTATTGTTTTATTAGGATCTTCAACTTTAAATTGATTTAAAAATCCACTATCTTTACTCCAAAATAATCTAATATCTGGAATATCATATAAACACATAGCTAGTCTTTCTAAACCCAATCCAAATGCCCATCCAATACGTTCTCCTGCACCTGACTTCTGTAAAATCTCCTGACGCATAATACCACATCCTAATATTTCAAGCCATTGATCTTTATAATAAATTTCTAATTCCCATGAAGGATGAGTAAAAGGAAAATATTCTTCAATCCATTTACATTGAATTTCTAAAATTATAATATTAAAGTAACAATTAATAATAATAAAAATATATAAAATATATATATATATATATACATATATATAATAAAATTGTTTTTTCTTTTTAAAAATACCTGATCCAAAGAGTGATTTTGCTAAACCTGTTAAAGTGTTTTTTAACTCATATTCCATTATTTTAATAGATTCCAAAGTATGACAAGCTTGCTTTTCATTAGTTTCTATACCTCTATGTTCAAATAATTTTAATTCTTCAGAATCATTTACATTATGAAATACTTCTTCTGCTGTACATAATCTAACAGCATCTGCTTGATGAAAAACAGGATAATGTGTAGAATCTATTTCATCTTTTCGATAAACATCTCCTATTATAAGAAAATTATTCAAACCCATTGAAATAAATTCTGTTTGATGAGCTGTTGTATGAGCTCGTAACAAAGTATCCTGATTTATATAATAGCATTCAGATTTTTTTCTAGATGGATGATCTTTTGATACAAGAAGAGAATCAAAATTTTGAGTTACTGTAACTACAGGAAATATATTATCATATACACTGAATATAGGATTTCCAATTCGATTATGAAAATGTATATAAAAGTAATTAATAATACGTTGACGAATATGAGATAAAGGATGATATGGAGAAATATGTAAATTTCTTCCTAATTTGGATATTATATTTTCATTAATATTTGTCCAATTATCTGTTAAATATTTATGGCCTAATAGTGTTATTTCATTATTTGTCTCAGTTTGTGTAGCTACAGAAAATGTTCTATTAAATAATATTTTCTGATAATAATATTTATAATATTTATATATTTTGCACCTATAAAATTATTTCAATTATTATTTATAAAAATATTTAAGCATTTAAGATAATATAATATATATATAGAATGTATAATCTAACCTTTGTAAAATCATTATAACTTCACTTATGGTAACTTCAAAGTTTAAAATCAAAAATTTAATTATATAAGTTCAAAATTGGAATTGTATTAATTTTTAATAATTAATAGAAGTGTATATGAATCTATATTTATATATTTTCGAAAATTTTTCGTTTTTTAACTTTTTATTTATAAGTTATTAAATGTACATATTTCATATATATATTCATAGTATAATTTAAGGAAAATTTATAACATTATTATTTATTAAAAGATAAAAAGATTAAAGTTATTTATTATAAAAATTGCATTCAGAAATGTAATCAAAGAATTAAAAAAAAAGTTTTGAAAACTTATAATTCCATCATTTAACAAATCAGTTATAGAAAATGGAAACATATGATTTATTTTTAAAATTTAAAGAAATTAAGGTTGATTTATAATTTTGAGATATAAAATAAAAAATATGCTTTTTTTCGCATATTAATTTATATATAATTATTTATGAAATTATTATTAATATAAATATTTTTCTTCAGTATCAAACTCATAATATTTAATTTATTTTGTTTATTTTTAGTGATTTAACTTGCTGAATATATCGTGTAAAATTTAAATTAATTTTATATATTTAATATTAATACAAACTCGTAAAAACATGTTATCTATCTATAACATGTTTAGTTTATGATGTGTTATGGTTCATACAAATAATGGCTAGTCGAAAAGATATTTTGAATCTTTATCGAAACTTAATTCGAGAAACTAAAAAATGGAATCTTTATAATTTTCGGTAAGTTATAAATTATGAAATTAATAATTATTAATTATTTTCTTGTAATTTAAAATGTTATTTTTTATTGATTTCCTTGTACATAAAATTTGTAATATTGATATTAACCAAATTATAATTATTCGAATATATATATATATGTATATATATTATGAATAAATATAATATAATGAAGAATATTATATTAATAAATATTATAAACATTTAATTTACAAGTTACATTATCATATATCATTATCATATATTTATAAATATAAACTTATAAGTATAATCTCATATTTATTATAGGATGTATACTTTACGTAAAATTCGATATGAATTTCAACAAAATAAAACAGTACAAGATAAAAAGAAGATTAATGAGTATTATAATAAAGGACTGGAAAATCTTGAGATTATTAAGAGACAAGTAATAATTGGGAATCTTTACACTTTTAAACCATTAATTATTGAAACTATTAAAAAAAATAATAATTTAAATTAAAAGCAAAAATTTGTAATTAGTATTGAAGAAATGTCTGCAAGAATAAATATATAAATATAAAAAATAATTTTTTAATAATTAAGAATTAATTACTGTAATTATGGTTATATATATTTAAGATGTATGTATTAATGTTATAAATATATTTTTATCTATAATATTCAATATAATATTATAATAATCAATAGTCAAAAATGTTTCACTAGAATCATAATTAATAAAAAATACTTATTGTTTATAATACAGTGTTTTATATAATTTTATGTAATTTTTTAAAAGAAATAATAAAAATATATAAATATATAATGAAATAATTTGCAATTATTGTAAAAAAAAAAACTTACACATAACTGTATTAGATTTCGAAAATAAATTTTAAAATTCTTAAGTCAATTCCAAAAATTTTTTTTGTGCGTAAAAATATATCGATATTATATAACGATATGTATTTGTGTACATGATATATCAAATATTTAGAGATAAAAATTTTCTACATACATAACTTTCCACGTGTTATCTTAAATTTCGAACAAATGTATGAAATATAAAAAAAATGCTTAATAATTTTTGTTAATCAATTATTTCAATTGTTACACGATGACAGATGGAGCACATTGAGAGAATAAAGTTACTGTGTATAGAAAGGAGTGTATCAAATAATCTATCGTGAATCATTTAACGAATTGAGTAAAGAATTTTGAACACAATGGCTATGCGAAATTTAACAGAACCATTTGTTTTAATGAGAAATAATGCTTTACAAAGCAAACACATATATGCTGAACAGGTATGACATAACCTATAATTTTGTGAACAATTAGCGAATTTTTTGTTAAAAATTTAAAAAAATAAATAATATTCTGTATAATTTCAGAATTTGTCTGACCGAATGGCACTAGTAACTTCAGATTCTGGTACTTCGGATAATGTTGAATTAAAAAATGTTAATTTGGAAAGTAATGCACCACCTATATGGACTGATGCCTTGGAAGAAACACAATATATTTTAAGTAGATTACGTGTTAAAATAGATAGTTTAGTAGAATTACATGCTAAACAATTAACTAGGCCAACATTAGATGATACTTCTCAGGTTTGTTATTAATTCTAACAATTAATGATCATTATGTTAGAAATTACATATATATTTAATAATAGAAGATTAGTTAATCTTTCTGATTTATTTTGATTACTCAATTGTTAGAGAGCAAATCGTTAAAAACATGTCTACAGGAAGAAAGACAAATGGAACAACTGACACGAGAAATAGGACGTGCATTTTCTAATGGTTATCATCAAGTACAAGCTATAAAAGCTGCAGCAAGACATACTACTGGATCTGCAGAACGACAATTAGCCATAAGCGCGGTAATGGCTCTTTCAACAGCTTTACAAGAGCTGGGTCTTCGATACAGATCAGCTCAGAATCACTATTTAACACGTATGATTTATATAGTTTGCATGTAAGCTAGATATGGAAATAAAAAAATATCCAACTTCATTTAATAATTTCAGAGGTTAAATCAAGAGAAGAAAGAAGTAATCAGTTTTTTACAGAAGATCAATCAATATTTTTAAATAATACTACAACAGACACATGGTTAATGGAATCAAATGAACTAAATTCAGATTCTTGGGAAAATAATGAACAAAAACAAGATTCTGTATTATTACAATTAGAGGATCCAGAAGACAGAATGAAATTAGCTATGGAAAGAGAAGAACAGATTGGTAACATAGTGCAAAGTATAGCAGATCTCAGACATATATTTAAAGTAAGGGATTTTCTAAATATTAGAACAAAATGAATGTTATTAAAATTATTGTGTTAAATAATAAGATAAATATCTTCTTTAAATAGGATTTAGCAACCATGGTGCAAGAACAAGGTACTATTCTAGATAGAATTGATTATAATATTGAACAAACACAAATACAAGTACAAGAGGGTTACAAACAATTGAAAAAAGCTGATTCTTATCAAAGAGCCAATAAGAAATTGTATTGCATAGTTGTTCTTGCAGGCGCTATCATTCTAGTCAGTTTTCTTTTTGTCGTGTTTAAAACATGAAATACAATTTGCACTACTAAATTTTAATGTACAATTACTTTGTTATTAATTATTCTAGTAAAAAAAAAACAAATATATAGTGCATAATTTGCAAAAAATATTTTTCGACGAAATATTTGAAAATTTTTAATTCTAAGTAAAAAGAAAAATGATGAAATTTAATAAGTATATGTTTTATTTTTATGATTATATAAATTATTTTTCTTATTTTATGCTCGAAATCATTCCATAATTTTTTTGTCATGATATCATTTGCATATCGTTATGTAATGATTTTAAGATTTATATATAATATAAATGTAAATTTTAATAATTTTATTAATGATTTTTAATTGCATTTTCATTTAGATTAATTTTTAATATATTTAAATTGAGAATGCTGCTATAAAATTTTGATAAAATAAATAATTGAAAAAAAATGTGTTCAAAATTAACCATGAGAAAATATTAAAAATATGTATTGATTTTTTTTTTAATGATTTTTTAAAATGAATATTTTATCCAGTATTTTATATGATTATAATGTTATTTATATAAACTTAAATATTATAAATAGGTATTTTGAAGTATAACTTAATAAATACTAAGATAACATAGTAGTTAACAATATCGAATTTTTATTCTTAAGAATATTAGATAAATTTTTTTGAACATTGCACCTTTTTTTTATCACAGACTGAGCGGCACATATATTTTATATCTACATAATTTATTATATTTAATTGTAATCATTTATCTACATATAAGTTGGAATCTTAAAAAAATATTATTACAAAGGTTTGAACAATTACACACACACACGTGTGTACATATCTGATGTATATACATATATATATATATGTATAAATAATATATATTTATACATATATATATATATATTTATTTATTTAAAGATATTTGCCTAAACATGCCCTTTTTATGTGTTGCGTGATATATGTGTACTTGAATGTATGCAAGAGTGTTATATAACTTCTAAATGTATTGTAAATATTTATTCTTCAGTTCTACAAAAATCTTATGTGTTATGAATTAAAAAATCATTCATTAATAATTTCATTAATAAATGATAAAAATTTGTATAAAAAAAAATATTATCATTTACACATATTGAAAGTGCGAAATTCAATAAAATACATGAAAAATGCTTAATGTTTGCTGTGTAATCCAAAATATAGCAAATATTGTACATAATAAAAATATTTATTCTAATAAATGGAATGCAATAAATGTTAAAGTCCTATAAATTTTATTGTATCATGAAATGAATATGTTTAGACTTGTTTTCCTTCTTCAAAGTTCATAATAGCTATTATTATAGATGTAAAAATTTTCATACAGACCTTTTTTTTTAATGCATTTTTATGTACACTTTTAAAAGCAAGGAAACAAGTTCATGTTTTGATGAACATTTCATTTAAATAGAAAAGAATTCTATTTTACTATTTTTCATATACAGCATTATGAATAATATCCGAATAAGAAAAAATATTTAGAAAATATTTATAATCTGAACGTATGTATAAAAAGTAAATAAGAAAGCATGGTTTTTTTTTATCATCCGAATGATTGACAAATATTTGCACTATTTTAGGTAGGAGTTGAGGTAGTCAGAATGTGAACTAAAATTGCAAACGCTCCACCAAGAATATAACGTACGAAATTATCACCAACTAAAGGACCCAAAGCATAAAGTCCATTTTTCGAAGCTTTTGTTACTTCATAAGTAAAATTATCAACATCAATTGGATTCGATTTACCATCTATGGTTTTGTCGGAATATTTTCCAAGACCGATACCGTTATCTTTTAAATAAGACAAATCAGGCTTGTAACCTACAAATGAACATTTTTTTATTAGAAAACATTATACACAGATTATATTTTTAGATTCGTGATTATTTTAGAATCGTTTGATACATACCGATAAGTATGGCTACTGTAGAAACACGAAATGTATGTACACATCCATCAGGATCTGAAAAAGTAACTATTGGTTGTTTTTCGGATCCGGTAGTATCATTAAAATCGTTTTCATTTCCAGTAAATCCGAGTAACGTATATCCTGGTAATGCTCTGTATAGAGGATAATTAGTACCACCGTCAGCCATCATTTCGTATACCTTGTGATATTCAGGATACATGGAGCTAGGAAGGCCTTGTAACTTATCATAAATAGTACGTATCTTTTCGTCATCTGGCTTGTTCCATTCATTGGACGAGTCACGAAAGGCATGCAACACAGGAATGCCGCGAAAGCGTGCAGCCATAATTGCATCCGCAGCGCTTAATCCAGCACCAATTACTAATATCGGATTGATTACTTGTCTTTCTTCTAACTCGTTTGCTAAAATCGAATATTTTACTAGTAAAGATTAATAAGCGCAACTCATTAACATATAAAATTTAAATATAAAATTTAATATTAAATATAAAAAAACAAAAAGAAAACGTAAAAAGAAAAAGATAGAAGCAATTTGCATACCTTGATGTTGATCAATCAGATGATCTAATCTTAATTCTAATTTGTTTAAGTCATGTGTTATCCAATCGGGTTGAGAGTTTTCACCAGGTATACCTAACTGATTTGATAAATCAGTTGTGCCTGTGGCAAGAACGACTCTTTTACATCGATAACGGAATGATTTTCCAGTTTGTTTGTCAAAACCATCTACTATCCAGTTATAATCTTTTTTCTGGCAATTAATGTCCGGATCACAGATCGTTCTCACCGAAGTAACTATAGTCTCGCTGGAAAGCAAGTGTCCATGTTATTACACGGGAGACACGATACGACTCGCGAGCAATTTGAACTAAATTGGTGTGCGAACCAACCATCGAAAATATTGCTCCAACCTCTTTATGCGTACATAATCTTTGTAATAGGCAGCCACTGTACCAACAGAAATTCTGCTAGCTGTCTTACACGCACTTGGTTTTTCATGAAATGCATAATATGATCCACTCTCTATTGAATTTGTGTTCCGAAATTGTTCGGACTCGATCAACATCTCCCATTGCCTTATGTCTAAGTCGGGCAACGACATCCATCGATTCAAGCTGATCGTTAATACGTTTGGATCCATCGACTAATATAATATATATATATATATATAATCAATTTATAAATTTTAAATTGAAATTGCGCGTTAAAATAAAAATATGTAAGTTTTATAAATTCTAGTAAAGATACATCAAAAGTTTGTTCGTGCGTACGAAATATATAGCAAAGAAACGAGAAGATTAAGAAAAGAAATCAATCGGTTTTAATCTTTTGTTTTAATTTTATTCTTGCAAAAGAACACAAATAATTTTATCACTTTATCGTCACCATTAATTTAACTTTCTCTATTACCATTACTATAGTTTATCCCTTGCTAATAAATATACTGTTCGTTACCTGCCATGAACCACCGGGTTGACCTTTACCGAGCACAATATGATCTATCACTTTATGCTCAGGATGTTGTTCAACTGATTTCCAAGTAAGCAAAGATGGGACATCGAGGCCGGCATCTACACAAGGATGTTGAAGTTGATCCATAAGAAGAGCCAATGGTCGACCACCGATTCTACCCTCCAATCCGGAAGAAAGACATTCGAGTTTACAACGAGTACTGCTCGCTAATCCCCTTCCTCCACCTTTTTCATCATATCCTTTTGATCTGACATCATTCTGCTGCCATTGATGATTAGTTTCACTCTCTAATTCTTGATTCGCCGTATCGTAACACTCTTCGTTTCCAGATCTTGTGCTGAAGTGTAGTCTGGCCGTGAGCATTTCATCCGCGGGATGTGGTTCACCAGTGTAATATGGCCAATTTCCAGCAAGCATGAAAGAAAGACATATTCCACTTGGCCCGTTTCCTAAACAAAATAAACATTATCTTATAACATTGTTTTATTCCACAATCTTTCATACTGTTTCTACTTGTACGATATATAAATAAATCCGATATATAAGAAAAAATGTTACGATTGATATCTTAAAAATGAAATATTGCAAAATTAATCAATAAATAAATACGATCATACGGTCATACGATTAATCTAATCAATTATGACTATTGAAGTATTAAATTTATATTTTATTAATAGTTAATAAAAAAAGAAAAAAAAAGAAAGAAAACTGCTATTATCGTGTAAAGATTACAATAAAAAATATAATTGTAGATTCGTTCAAGCGAAGATTAGATTATTTTTGAAAATCCTTTTAAAAAAAGAATTTTTAACGGTTGAAAGATCTTTTGAATTCTAGTATAATTCTTTGTTTTTAGTATATAAATTCCGCTAATAAATATTAAAATATATACCTATAATAACCACATCCTTATAGATGACATCGTTGTCACTGTCGCTGTCACTCTCGTCGCAACAATTTTGCATCTTTTTTTTATTCTGATGTATTCTTGTTTAATTGTTTAATTATTCAAATTAAAAAAACTGCAACAAACACATACTAATGATATTCTATAAATATTCTGTGCGATTATGAAAAAAAAAAAATGAATAAGAAAATATCGAATCATCGTCATTTAACTTTTACAATATTTAAATTAAATAAAAGAATTAAAAAAAAAAAAAAAAAAAAAAGAAAAAAAAAAAATCGAATCAGCCTCATTTAACTTTTAAAATATTTAAATTAAAAAAAAAAATTAAAAAAAAAAAAAAAAGAAAATGAAAGTAAAAATAATGCAGAAAATAGCACGATTTCCGCGCTCATACATCTATGCGACAATATAGTTGAGCAAATAAACATGCGGTTGCTATCATACGATGCGCGTTGCAATCTATGATATAAAAATTGAATTTACCACGGGAATCGTGCGGCATAATATTCATTACAATCGGATACATGTTACAGTTATTTAAAAACTTATCACAATTTATTCTAAAAATAAAATCAGAAAAAAAGTATATTTCATTATTATTATGTTTGATGTAACTTTTAATATCATTTAAAAAAAAATATATATATATATACATATATAGAGAGATATATAACATGTTATCGCGTTAACAATTATAAAACTTTCCATGCAATTTACAACACAACATCGAAGATTTTTATCGAATTGCTAAGTCATTAAGTTTCATTAATGTAAGGTCATAATAATCTTAGTATATCTATGTACATATATTGATTGATTCTTCGAAACATCAAAACTTTTGTGTGTTTTTATTTTTAATTTTTATTTTATTTTTTCCGCTAAATATTTTCTTATATGTTATATTAAATAACATTATTTAATACGAACACCTAATCGTGGAGATTTTTAGTTAATTTTGTTTAAGTTAATAAATTTGTTTTCATAATAGCTTTGTATATATATTTATGAGAAAAATAGTTTCATTAAAGTCTAATCATAAAATTATAGATAAGTTTTATTCTATTTGTAAATAAATTATTGTAAATAATGGAAGAATATTTATATGAATGGCTTACTCATCATATGATAGGAAGAAAAATTATAGATAAATCTTGAAACGAAAGAATTACGTGTTAAGTTGATTAATCAATTACGTAATAATAGATATTTAAATAATCTAAAATAACTTTCAATTATGCATTTAAGTACCGTAAGTTTGCATAATACTTTTTTTAAAACTCAACTTAGAGTGAACATGTTGTCTATATCTAGATTGTAGTTTAACAAACTCGATTCTTCATTGTGACCAACGATTGGAATGTGTACATACATTGGACATTGCAAGAAAGTCAATATTAAGAAGAATGTACAGAGTCGCGATCGATATTCAGATAGGAATGCTCAGATAGGAATACTTATACAATGTCGATTCAATTTAAATTCGAAGTATAACCTCGATTCAAATTGATGTATTGCACGATTTATATAGTAAGACAAAAAAATATTCGTATACTCTTTAAAATAACTTTTTTAGATCAAACGATTTGAATTTTTTTACAATTAGTACACTGGATAACATGTAAAAAAAAATTTTTTAAATTAATTGATCGAAATTCTGAAGAGAAAAATACAGATCATGATTTTTAATTCTTTTATCTGAATCTGTAATAAAAATTTAAATCATATTTTTTATAGATCCTAAGAAAGTTATATGTATAAAGTTTCATCAAAATTGATTAACATTATTATAAACGATCGAAAATGCTGAAGATTCGCAATTTTTCATGACTTTTGGTTTATAACTATAATTTGAAAATTTTTAATCCTTCAATATAATTTCTTCATACATCAACCGATTTCGATTTTTAATTTTTATGAATTTTTTATTTTTTTCTTCGAATTAATAGCAATTTCTAAAAATAATTTTTTTTTTATACATTATTTAGTAAATTAATTTTTCTTTTAATGTATAATTTGAAAAAGAAGTCCATTTGATCCAATTTTAAAAAAGTTATTCTATTTTAAAGAATGTATAAATACTTTTTTTCTCATTGTAATCATCAAAAAATATAACCGTTTTATTCAGATTAGATTCTTTGCGATTTTACAGAAATCGATGAATCATCATATGTATTTACATTATTTATCATAATATATGTTGATCTATTAACCGACCATTCAGAAATCCAATAATAAAAACTCAACCGGGAATTGAATAATTTATTTTTATTTTTATATTGCGTTCATTAAAATAGATTATTGTAAAAAAAATTTCATATGTATTAATTCTAATTTTAATTAATACTTTCAGATAAATCATCATTATATGTGATTAAGTACATGATAACAAATAAAAAACTATAGTTGTAAAGTTGCAAGTATAGTTATAAAAATCTAAGTTTTATAATGACAAAGCATAATTATTATTATAATTTCTTATTATCATATTTATAATATATACATTACATTGCAGAGTTGAAAATTAGAATAACTTGATAGTGACATGGTGGAATGGAATGGAATGTGAGGGAACGGGAGGAAGAAAAAAACAGACAAATAGACAGAGGAAAAAGAAGGAAGAGAAAAGAAGATGATGAAGAGAAAGAGGAAGAAATGTGGGAGTTTATGGGATCACAGTTTTAAAGAATGTCACTATTTATATCTATTTGTATGTGATATAAATATATTACCTATGTAGTAAGTATTAGTGAAAAACATACCAAGGTTCTGGTATACACTGACAATATTCTCTTAAATATTTATTTTTACTCACAAGTAAAATTGCAATCGGCTCCTACCAGAAGAACGGTCGGCGTTATACTGAACCGTGAATCGGTTGCGCGTTTCTTTTCACAGAAACAAATTTTCTGCTAGAAGGTTGCGAAACATTGTGTCACAATTTTATCTCTTTTTTTCTTTTAAATAAAGAATAACAATATATGATTAACACGGTAATAGATCAAGATTAAGAAAAAGAAAAAAATATAAATTTAAGTTATATAAGAAGACGAATCATGTATATTGTATGTGTATTTTTTTTATTCTATTCATGTACACTATATCTTTATCATAATAGAATCGATTTTCGATATAGATGCTTATTATATATTATTATATATAATAATATATTGATTTATATGCATGAATATATAATCCAAACATTACTTCCAAAGCTTACTTATACTAACCTAAGCATAATCTGCAAAATTAATGATTTATGTTTGCCAATCGAAATCGGTAGAAGGTCGCATAACAAATTACTTTATTTTTTATCTTTCTTTACATATAATTCGTTGTCTGTTATTTGTGTAAAACCGGTTACCCCTTTCACCATTTTGTTCTTGAATAAATTCTGTAGTAACTAGTTTAACAATTTTACAGATTTTTAAATTAATTCTGCATTTGTTTAATTATGATTACATTTTTGCATATGTTCAATTGAAATTTTAAAATCACATTAATCGGCATATTATTATAAAAATTATTAATTATTATATCGATCTTTTTTCAATTGAAATTTTGAAATCACATTAATCGGCATATTACTATAAAAATTATTAATTATTATACCGACTTTTTTTGTATCAGATTATATTGTCATAAAAATTGAATTTTTATAAATCAGTCATCAGTTAAATATATCTTTATAACAATTGAATAAAAATTTATATTTATATACATATATATATATATAAATATAATATAAAATATAAACTATATAATAAGTAAAAATGACTATTCGCTACTAATTTTATTGTGTACATTTTTAAATAATTTTATAAATTAACTTTAATAATGATAAATGAATAATAATATTAATATATTTTGTTTTTGTTATTTTTGTTATATAAATTCTACATATATAAATAATGAATCTACAGATTCTCTTTAAAATATATTTATTTAAAAAAAATCAATGACATTAATAATGAATAAGTAATTTTCGAAATTGTTATATTTCATGAATAATAATTATTTCATAATATTACGTGTTAAATTTTATCTTATAATCTAATCTTAATCTTAAGTATTTAATTGTTTGCCGTATTTAAAAAATTTGTATTTTTTATAAAAATTTTATTTATAATTCAACAAATGTAATTATTTAATTTTAAACATTTAAATAATTGAAATGAAATATTATATGTAATATAAATGTATATTTTATAACAATTTATTTATCTCTAAATTATCTCTAGTAAAGAAGAAAATTATAATTTTAATTACCTGTTTTCCTTTTCTGTATAATCGCAGCATTCTATTTAATCTGGATTGCATATTTTAGTCCGATACATTGTGTAGAAATTTTGTTGATCGACGTTTTGAACACATCCGCGACCAACGATTATCTTTTGTAGTTTATTATGAACACTCTCAAGTATCATATTCAAGCAGTTTTTGTTTAGTTGACTTAAAAATTTGTATTCAAAGTTGCTTTGTATTTTTCCTTCTAATGTTTCTCTCCTACTTTATAACTTAAAAATTTATTTATTAAATTGAAAAAATTTCCACACATTCACTATTTTTTTCTTCAATATAATCACAATTAATACTTTTAGTTTATGCTAAATATCAATGTTTAGATAATCTATTTGACACACCTTATCGTTGCATCGATTTCCTTGTTTTTATAGGTTAGGTATAGCCCAGCAAATACTAATACTTACTATGGCGGCAATTTTAAAATTAAAATTTGAAACACTTTATTTTTATTTTGCAATTTATTATTGCCATAATTTAAAATAATGCAATTTGAATTAAGTAAATTTTTGTGTATTTATTATATTTATTTTTGGTTTAAAAAATCAAAGACATTTTATTATAATGTATTTATGATGAAATATTAATAAATAATGTAAATATGTAAAATGATAAATATTGTTTTACTTTATGAAAAATATAAAAATTTTGGAGAATATAAATTTATGTCGAAAATGAAAAAAACTAATAGATTATAGGTTATTATTATAGAAAAATTATTAGCTGTAATAACAATTGCAATAAATGATTTTCATTTTTCCTTCTAAGCGATTTATATAAGGAACGTAATCGCAAACATATGATTTAATGTCAAAATTTGATATTATTCTTATAGTATTTTCATTAAAGTTAATAATAAAAATAATTTTTGAAAAAAATTATTAATTTATTTGCATAAAACATTAAACATTTATTTTAATATTATTTATTTTTTATAAAGTATAAAAATAATTTGTATGTTAAATTTATAAATAATTTATTAGATACATATATTTATTATTTATTGTTTAAATATTTGATTACAATGAAAATAATAAGATTTAGAATACTTAATTAATTTCTTAATAAAAAAAATTGAATTAATTTTACTTAAATGAATAATATTAATTACGATATGTATCAATAGTTTTTATTAAGTGAGTATTCTGTTGAATCATTTTACGTGCGAAAAATAATTTATCATTGTATGCTTTAATATGTAGAGAAAAAAAGTATATTATATTTATTTAAATGTTAACATTTCATTGACAAAGTCATCATTATCACGCCATAATCATTATCGTCAATGATAATATTGTCTTAATACTGAAAGCTGTCTAAACAATTTCTAAATATTTATAATTATAATATTAATCATTTAATAACTGAGTTGCAGGATCAGTAAGAGGAATATAAGAAACTTGCATTAATTTTTTCTTTGTAATTGTACCATCTATGTTTTTATCTACTTGTACCAGATCTTGAAATCTTTGAAAACCTTCTATAGCAACAACTGGACAAATTAGCCGTCCACCAGGAGTCAGTTGATCTATTAACTGGAACATAGAAGAAACTTTATTTGCAAAAATATATTTACATATATGTTCATCTTTAAATACATTTTGATACCTGTTGTGGTAGAGTTTCCGCTGCTGCTCCAACGTGAATCGCATTGTAAGGGCTGTCAGCAGCATATCCCAATCGGCCGTCTCCCACTAGGTGCATTTATAATGACCTGTTGTTAGTCTTTGGTCTATTTTTACATAATGCACAGCAAAGTCACGCAGTTGGTGGACACAGTCCTGTTTGATTCTTCGTGGCAAGGTACATACCTACTCCACGTTGGTGGATTACGAGTATTTTTTACTTCAATACATTTATATTATTTTCAAATTCTTGAATATGTGAAGTTTTCAAATGTTGTAGGAAAAAGACCATGTATTGACAAGAAATTCCTTTTTCCTTTTTCCCGACACCAACTATTCGTGAATAGAAGTTGCAATGTGTTTATACTTTCGCATATTCTTACCTACAAATTTAACGCGTTCTTCCTGGATGAAATGAGGACAATCTTCGCTTACGTTTTTCGTAGAAATTTCTATTAATTCTGGAATATGATCGATTCCGATTACACGACCACGTGAACCAACCATGAATGCCATACATGCAGTCAGATAACCAGATCCAGAACCAACATCCAATGCTTTTGCCCCATCGAACAATTGCTCAGATAGAATAGACAAGGCATATGCATGCTAGAAAAAATTTTTTTTTAATTCTAAGAAGATATATTTATAAATATACTTCAAATGAACCAATTCTAAGAAAATTTAAATTATTTATTATTTGATATAAATTATATAAGCTAAACAATATTTTTTTTATAAAAAATAATTTATTAACCATGTGAGGGGCACTAATAGTAACATTGTAACCAATTTTTCTTGGTTGATCAAGATATGGATTTGATTCATGATAATAGTTTCCTCTATCTACAGCAAGCATCGCAGCTTCTGCTCTGTCTGTTGTTAGAATACCTGCTTCTATAATGTAATTTCATAATTAAGTTTTACATATTTCATAAAACTTAGAGGTCATTTTAATTTATATATATAAAAAAGCTTTACCTTTTAATTTGGTTACCATTTCTTGGTTTGTAGTTCCACTGCAATGCCATGCCATGTTCTACACTATATATATGTACATATATTTGTAGATATATATATATATATGAATACATAATATTGAATTTATAGAAAAAGTATATTTTTCAGAGAACAATAAAAAAAATATTGTAAAAAAATATATATATAATAATTGATAGAAAAAAAGTTTTATAAAATAATGTGAATCACATAACATTATATTTAAATTTAATAAATATAATAACTAGTATATATAAATAAAATTAATATTAATAATAAATATTATATAACACTTGCTCAAGTATTTATAAAACTTTTCCAATATATTTTTTAATCTCAAATTAGGATTGTTCAAATGAAAAAAATGTTTGCAATATTTCAATATATATGAGTATATAAAAAAATTTTATATAGGTTAAATTTGAAAAGTTCAAAATATAGATATCAAAACATTTTTCTTAATATATATAATTTTCATTTTTAAAAATTATAATACGAAAATTAAACTATCAAAATATAAGAATATTTTATTAAAAATATCTTCTATATTAGAGAAAATTAATATAGTATACATTCATCAATTTAATGTAACTATTTGCATTTTGAAGAAAAAAAAATCGTTATCTTGATTTGTTTATTAAAGTTCGGTAATACTTATTTAGAAGTCGAACTATTATTTTCTTTTTTTTTTTTTTACAAAATGGTACATATTGAACATAATTAAAATACAATTTTGTTAGGTTAAGTACCTTTTTTACCGTTATCTAGTTGCGCCAGATACGTTCTGACGTATATAAGGGTATACATGTTACATCTCCATATATGCATACTTTATATAAATATTTATGTACGCGTTTTAATCTATAATTTTATATAATATTTTTAATATAAAAAAAAATATAAAATATTTGATAAAGACAAGATACAAAAAAATAAAATTATATTTATATATTATAAAAAAAATTACAACAATCCAAGTAATAATCAAAGGATTTCATTATACTTTGCCAAAATGTCATTTTGATTATTAGAATTTTACTTATTATTTAAAAATTGCAGCATTTGCAGACGCAATCGTGATATTATCATAGTAATGTCATGTGATGAATTTGAACATTTATAACTGCGTATCAAAAATTAATATCTATAATACATAGCATATAAATTAATTTAAAGCTATTCACTTTTATATATAAGTAATCTGATGCAAGATCATAAATTAAGTCCGAATTATAAGTCGGTAACATATCTGGTAATAAATTATAGTCAAATAAGCTTAATTATATTAAAATGATTTTAAAAAAAACATAATTTTTGTAATTTTGCAAATGAATATCTATAGATTGTGTTTATATCTAGTCTTGAACAATTAATAATTTTTATAAGAATTGCATGAATTTGCGGAAAGAATGAAAAGCAAAGTTTGCTTTGAAGAAGCAAAACAGAAGGTGTGGAAATGACATACAAATGTATGATTATTTGTTGAGTAAATATAAAATAAGGGAAGTAATCGAAATAAATAGATAAGAGGACTATTCAGTTCTCATTTGAATTCGATAATGAAATAATTATCCATCGGTATAAATTAAATGAAAGATTTAAGTTTTGGCAGCATAGAAGGCAGGATAGAAGCGTATGGACAAAAAAATTTTATTAGAAAGATCAAATAGGATCAGAAGGTTTCCTAACGGTTAAGATTTTTGCAAAGGCAAGCATTGTAATTATTATTATCAATTAAATGGCAGAAAAGAAGATACAAATATAAAAAT